TTTCGGTCATTCGACCATATTCATACTCTACTGTTCCGGTCATTTGACCATACTTATACTTTATTTTTTCGGTCATTCGACCGTTGTGGTTATATAACCATCTCAATTCAACTTGCTCAGTTGTTTGACCGTTGCAACCCAACTTGCTCGGTCGTTTGACCGTTGCTATCCCATTCATTCGGTTTATCCGATCGTTGCAGTTTTCTAACCATCTTTTCTCATTCGTTTGGTCAATCCGATCGTCGTGATTTTCTAACTGTTTTCTCTCATTTGTTTGGTCAATCCAATCATTGGGGTTTTTTAGCCGTTTTATCTCATTCGTTCGGTCAATTCGATCGTTGTGGTTTTCTAACCGTCTTCTTTCATTCGTTCGATCAATCCGATCATTTTGGTTTTCTAGCTGTTTTATCACATTCGTTCAGTCAATCTGATCATTATGGCTTTTTAGTCGTTTTATCTCATTCGTTTGATTAATCCGATCATTGCGGCTTTTTAGTCGTTTTATCTCATTCGTTCAGTTAATCCAATTGTTGCGGTTTTTCAACCGTCTTCTTTCATTCGTTCGATCAATCCGATCGTTACGATTTTCTAGCCATTTTATCTCATTTGTTCAGTCAATCCGATCGTTGCGATTTTCTAACCGTTGTATCTTATTCGTTCGGTTAATCGATCGTTGTGATTTTCTAACTGTCTGCTTTCATTCGTTCTGTCAATCCGATCGTTGCAATTTTCTAGCCGCTTTGTCTCATTCGTTCGGTCAATCCAATCGTTATGGTTTTCTAGCCATTTTCTCTCATTCGTTCTGTCAATCCGATCGTTTCGGTTTTCTAGCCGTTTTATCTCATTCATTCTGTCAATCCTATTGTACCTATGATTTTGATGATTACAAAACACATTTGAGTGACTAATTAGTTCATTTAAGTGTGTAGCTAAAATGTCAAAAGATTACAAAATAAGTAAACTTGGATTGCACTAAAAATAGACCAAAAGGCTTGAAAATGTGCAGAGAGCCGGTTGTTAAAACTTGCAGCCGGCTGTGGCAGTGCAAAGAGCCTGCTCTGGAAGCTGCAGCCGGCTCTACAGGTAAAGATTTATAGGATCGTTGTTTGGCGTGCGTGGAGCAAAGACGCAAAGCCAGCTCCAACTTTGCAGCCGGCTGTGAGGGTGCATTTAGTGCACAATGGTCGAGTTATTTGAAGATTATTTAATGTGTTTAAAGTTGGAATCCCAAAGCCGGCTCTAGGCTTTGCAGCCGGCTGTGGAAGAAAACAGAATGTGCAGGAATCCCGCAAAGCGGCTGCAAAATTTTTGAGCTAGCTTTACGAAGAAAACAGAATGCAGGAAACCCGCAGAGCCGGCTCTAGAAGTGTAAGCCGGCTCTATTAACAATTCTGCAACTCGAATTAAGCAACCTGCAGAGCATTAAATGACCCATAACGGCTAGTAACGGCTATTTTCGACCATGAGGTTATAAATATGGTTAGTAAAAAATCTGAAGAAGTTTTAGAGAGCATTGTATTGAATATCTTTACCTACCAACTTGTGCTTTAACTTGAGATTTTGATCTTTGAGAGATCTTTTTTTGTAATCCTCTTCTTGTTCTATTTGTGAGTAGTCTTGGGGGTGTGACTATTCCTTCAAAAGTGATTTGTAGAGAGGATTGTTTGGGTTTATCTTGTAAAGGGGTGAGATTTGAGAGAAACACCCTTATTCTTGTAAAAGGATTAAGTGGCTCCTTTAAGCCACCTTTGTTGTTGTTAGTGGAAAGTGTGGAGGAAATCCTTGGTGAGTGAAGCCAAGGTAGAGGATTAGGCTCCAAGTGGTTGGACCGAACCTCTATAAATCATTGAGCAAGCTCTTCTTCTCTACTCTCTTTAATTTTGGTTTTGTGGTT